TATCCAGAAGACAAATACAAGTCGTGGATCAAGTTTTTCTGCAAAGGTGAAGATTTCACCTGCGAGGACAATTTATCAACAAACAGGACATCCACTCCCTCAAACATCAGCCATAGCTTCAATATGTCCATCAGTAATGTGTCCTCTCAGGACGATGGTATTTACTGGTGCGGCGTAAGATCACCTGAGGGGATTCCTCATGCTGCCCTCACACAAATAAAACTAAGTATTGAAAGTAAATAACTTATGTTTTCCACTTTAAATGTTTACATTTTATATTTAGGAACTACTAACGTATGTTTGCCTCTTTTTTCCACAGATATTAAGAGCTTCACAAGATCACCAGCTGTTGGAGAGAACTTCACATACTGGTGTAAATATAACCAGACTGTCTCAAATTGGACAAAATTCATCTGTAAGGGAGAAGATCCATCTATATGTGAACCTTTAGTAAGCACCAGAGATCCCAATAGGAACAAGAGGTTTTGGATGAATGACAATAAAAAAAAGAAAAATATCAGCATGACAGTGAGAGAAGTGACAGTGGACGACAGTGGGACATACTGGTGTGGAGCAGAAAGCACCGATGAACACCAAAGTAACAGGTTCTTCAACAGATTGTCCCTGACTGTAGGTGAGCCGTGCTATCTTATTATCTGACCCTGGGTCATAATGCACAGCATATTAAAGCAGGCTCATTTTGCACATATATTATACTTTTAATTCATTATTTATAATGTTTTATTTTTTGCAGTTTTAATAAATCATTTTAAAAATAAAAATATTAAAAAATAAAGACTTTTAATCGTAACTGTTAGCAAGAAAATGACTTTAAAAGAATTTAAAAGAAACAAAAAGGTTTGACACAGAACGAGCTTTAAGAAAAGAGGACGTGCTTATACTCGGCACACTTTCTGATTATGAGGTATTACCACATTAGGTTAGTAAATGGTTCTAATATTGCGCTTTTCTACTCTGAGCACTCAAAGCGCTTTATACAACTTGTTCATTCAACAAATCACACCCATTCACAAAGCACTTTTCTAGGTTTTCAGTGCAACCTAACTAACATTCTTACACATTCACTCTGATGGATGCATCGGAGAACAACCAGCGGTTAGTATCTTGCACAAGGATATTTGGCATGCAGACTGGGATCAAACCCCATCGAACACAAGACTTTTACTTGCTAACTTCACTTCACTAACATTACATTTTGTAATGCCACTTTAAAAAGTGGAGAGGAAAACGAGATGGTAACCTCTAAGCTGGTATCTAAAAATTATAAATATTCTTTTTTTTCCAAATTGATGATATCATTTCATCATTTAATTAAACTCTGTTAATTTAATGCCTCAAAGTAGAGTCTGAATGCACATTTGTCTCCTTAGGTTTCCACCAATCATTTACATCAGCTGATTTTTCAACTACAGGACCCGCTGCATCTGCTGAGAGTCATGGTGAGAGAGTACATGTGGTATCCTAAAACTTCTGCAGCTTATGAGAACTGGGAAAGTTTGTGGATGTTCATATAACATTTTTTATTTTTTTAATTTCTTAAAAACTGCTCCTTTCACATTTCCCAACAAAGACAGTTTGGGATGTCAATGCTGGGATGATGAATAATGCTGGAAAATTGTTGTTTGGTTTACGCTGCAGGCATTTCTGACGTTGGAATAGTTCTAATCATAATAACTGGGTTGGTGTTTCTGGTCGTTTTCATCCTCGTCTACAGACGTAAGAACTTTCACTAAATCTTTTGTACATCATCAGTCACACAAACATGTTTGCTGCTTTTATCCAAAAAAAGAAAAACACATCCCTGTACTTTTGTACAAATGATATCTAACAATCTGCAGTATACATGATGCATGACATTAGCTGACATTTTTAAAGTTATGAAAGATATAATCTTTGACATTAAAAAAAATCAAACTAGAAAAAATGCAAATCTTTAACAG